ATACATTGGCTTCCCAGGCACAATTCACCCCCGCTCCACCTACGAAACCAGCCCCATCCAAGAAGACTAGGTTCCGGCGTGCTGGAAAAGTCAAAGTGGTAATATGCGAATCACGGTTGAACGAGCACATTGACCTGGACCTCCAAGACCTGGACCCCTTGATTTACCCAGAGGAAAGTCTGTCCTATTGCTTTGAGCTGTTGAAAGATAAAAAGTGGTAAGTTTTTCTTTTTTTTTATCTTAACAATGATCTTCAATATTCTATTGATATAAGCTCAATGTTTAGATGTAATGCTTGCAAAATTTAGCTTGCTTCCTTGAAGTTATCCTCGGTTCACTGTCATAATCATCTACTCGGCATACAAGACAGTTCTCCATAACTCATTTGTTGTTGCACCAGTGAATCAAAAGTTCTTACATTAGTCATCTTTTATACATTTTGTTTGAAACATACTGTGATATTAGATTTTTTGAACAAAAGTTTAACAAATTTATCATCTCATGCACAGGGACAAGAAGATAGAGGGACTGAAACTCATCCAAGCTCTGGCACAGCACCACCAGGAGAATTTGGAGTTCAGGTTTTATGAAATATTAGATGCGGTATTAGACGAGGTAAAGAAGTCATTCATGTCTTTGTATCCCTATATCTTTAAGTGTGAACATTGAATTGTATCTGTGATAGTTGTATGACTGCTAAATGTTTACCTCTGTTCTTCCCCCCAGGTTGAAAATCTACGCTCAGCTGTGGCCAGTGCAGCCATTGAAACCCTGAAATATCTTTATGTCCATCTGAAAGAAAAAATGGACAAGGCAGTTCAAAGAACAGGCGAAGCTCTGCTGCTGAAGGTTGCACAGGCACATAGTAAGACCTTCCTCCAGCAGCAGGTCGGTGTGGCCCTTAAGGCAATGTTACTGAACTGCGACCCAGAACCAGTATTACGTGTGCTGGTGCAAACAGGTTTAAGGTATGTTTCCTGGGACAAAAATATTATAATAAACACAGCAGTAGTAAATTCAAAAATATACAAATACAAAATGGAACAATGTGACTAAAATTGTTTATCCTTGTACTTTACAGCCATCGGAGTGCAGCAGTGAGAAATAGCGCAGCACAGCATTTACATCTGCTGGCTGATTTAGTCGGAGCAACACAAATTCTGAGCGCTGGAGGGACCTTCACAGAGACATTTCTGTCTGCTGTGAATGAAATGGCTATGAACACCACTGCGGAAGTCAGGTAACTATTTATCCGTCTCATCAGTTTTCAAACTGTGCCAAAACTCTGATTTTGTCTGGTTTGTAACTCATCTCACAACGTTCATTTTTTCTTTGTTGAATTTAATGTTGATGACCAAAATGCTAACTGAAATCTTATTTTTCTTCAGGACTCACGGAATAACCATCCTCAAGAACATTGCCCAAGAAAAGAACTTCAAGGAGCAGTGGATGCTAGTTGTCAAATCCAAAGATCGACCCTACTTGGAGAAGATCATGGCAAGGATTGCGAGGGAGTAGCAGAGGAGGAGCCAAAGGGACGGACAAGGACTGTGTCAGGAATGTATGGTGGCCGGAGGCTGGAAGTACTGTCCCCTCATAGAAAAAGGAGCAGCTTTCAAAGCTGCTTCTTTTTCTATGAGGGTTTTTTTAATGTAAAAGATTGGGTTTTCTCCGGGCTGCTCCGGTTTTCTCCCACAATAACTTTTCATCCATTTATTATCTGTATCAGGATGACTGGCGCATATAATGGATTACTGTAATTTCATTGTGTGAACCAGAACGGCTGATACGGGTAGCAGGTGGATAAAAAGTTTTTCAATTGTCGGTAAAAAAAAAAAAAAAAAAAAAAAAAAACTACACTCAGTCACGCCTCCTCAACACTAAATTGCCCTCTTGAAAACACAGCTCCTCATCTCGACTGAGGGCAACACTGCATCATCGGGCCTCTGTTCCTGTTGACTTCCCAGGCACAATTCACCCCCCCTCCACCTACTAAACCAGCCCCATCCAAGACAACTGGGTCCCGTCGTGTTGGGACAAAAACATTATAATAAACACAGCAGTAGTAATGTGCTTTTTTTAATGTAAAAGATTGGGTTTTCTCCGGGCTGCTCCGGTTTCCTCCCACAATAACTTTTCATCCATTTATTATCTGTATCAGGATGACTGGTGCATATAATGGATTACTGTAATTTCATTGAGTAAACCAGAATGGCTGATACGGGTAGCAGGTGGATAAAAAGTTTTTCGATTGTCAAAAAAATAAATAAATAAATAATAATAATAAAAAAATTAAAAACAATTAAAAAAAAAAAAAGTCGAGGTTGGGTGTCGTGGCTTTGCAAGCCATTCACTGGTGCAAACCCTCCAACACTTGGAGCGAACGGACTGCATCTACAGAGAGCCGTAAAAAACACGCTAGATGCTGCAGAGAGGGCCTCCAGGTGCCTGTGGATCCGCAGGGGGGGATCCGTGGAACAACAATCACTTGGATACAAGTCGGGGACTGATCATCCCCGGCTGGGTCGCCCAGGAGAGGGTGTATGAAGAATAAAGAACCGAAACACCCCATCACCCTGGGTTCTTCACTGATGACGTGTCCATGTATCACCGGAAGGTGTATTCAACTTCTATCCCACCTGGCTTAGCCAGTGACCGCCAGGAAAGTCTGGTTGACACCCACGAACAGAGTGGTGACTGCTGGAGAGACAGTGGACAGCTCGGAGAGATGGCAACCGGAGCAGGAAGGGCTAGCCCCCCAACCTGCAACTCTCCAAAGGGAGTATCCAAGTACCTAGCTACAAAGACCCCCAAAGAAAGATACCCCCCAGGGATGCCCGAGAGGGGGGGGGGGCATGAGCATCCCAATCGGACTGAACTACCAGTAACGACCTAAGCAAAACACGCTAGAGGCTGCAGAGAGGGCCTGTAGGTGGCTGCGGATCCGCAGGGGGGATCCGTGGAACAACACGCCACTTGGACACAAGTCGGGGACTGATCACCCCCGGCTGGGTCGCCCAGGAGAGGGTGTATGAAAATCAAAGACCCGAAACACCCCATGACCCTGGGTTCTTCACTGACGACGTGTCCAAGTATCACCGGAAGGTGTATTCAACTTCCATATAATGCATTACTGTAATTTTTTTGTGTAAACCAGAATGGCTGATACGGGTAGCAGGTGGATAAATGAGTTTTTCGATTGTCATAAAAAAAAAAATTAGAAACAATAAAAAAAACAAAACAAAAAAAAACTACACTCAGTCTCGCCTCCTCAACACTAAATTTCCCTCTTGAAAACACAGCTCTTTGTCTCGACTGAGAGCAAGACTGCATCATTGGGTCTCGAGGATCTTGGATGGCACTGCTGAAAAACAGTGTTGTAATCCTCTCCTTACAGCAGTTAGTTTTTCATCACCCCTCCAACAGTTCAGTTGCTGTTCTCAGAGTGGCTTCATCCTGCGAAGAGGCAGACGCTGTCCATTCTATCTACTGTCTACGATCTCTGGTTTTCAGTTACAGCCCAATACAATGTTTTAAATTGGTTTTGACTTCTGAACTTGCAAGGTTTCAAACAGTCACAACAAACATATTTAAGATTATCAGAGAGAACAAACTAGACAGGTAGATGAGGGGGCCAGAGAGGGTTTTTATATTAGAAATACAGTAAAAGAGTTTGGAGGTGGGCCGGCGAAACTGGGTTTGGTTTAATTTGTCTTTTTAAACTGTAACAGGATAAGTTTCTCATCTCCACACAGTGGCACTCCAGGCAGACATGTTGTTTACTTTCAAATTCACAAGTTGTTTCACAGTTGTTTACTTTCAAATTGTTCCGGAATGATGTCATTGATACCTCTGATGTCACCTGTGATGTCATTGTCTTTGATCTCACTTTAGGCTACTCAAATCGAGAAGGTACTTAGGTACTTTGATATCAAGTTCACTTTGTTCACTTGTTCGTAAAACTCAGTTTAGTTTTAACAGCACACATATACATCAAGTATCAAACATGTTTGGCTGTTTTACAAAGAGGACAGAGGAAGAGCGCGTAAGTATTAATTTGTATCCAAGCATCTGCAGTTCATGACAGATATTTTTCTGAGAAACCTCTGATGGATTTGAAACTTGTTTATCTCTAGAAGACTACTTTCAATGACTTGAACAGGCTTAAGTTATCATTCTAAAATATAAATTGGAAGTTTTGATATATTAGGGCTCAAAAACATATCTGCAAAACAATGTTAACGTGTAGGAAAAAAAAAAAATTACGATGCAGGCCCAATCGTGGGCTATCATTTTAAGCAAATTTTAAATCTTTGAATATGATTTTACTACCATTTAAGTTACATAAAAATAATTCCACTACAACTTCTATAGTAGTAAAGTAAAAATTAATTTCATATTTGAATGCAGGTTAAGTTGTATCTTAGTTTTTGTCTCTATAGATAGACTTTTTGTGTCTTTTTTAAAAAGTATTTTGTCGATCATGTTACATCAGTTTAGTGTAAGAAAAGGTGGATGTATTCTGAGAAAATAGCCAACAGTTTTAAACTAAGTAGTACGATTAAAGACTTGCGGCACTGCAACAACAACAACAATAATAATAATAATAATAATAATAATTATTATTATTATTATAAATTTTTATTTGTAGTGCCCTTTATATCAAGAAACCTCAAAGAGCTACATCTTAAAAGTAAAGAAATGTTATTTCAGTTTTACTAACACTGTTCCATTATCAATTTTCATCATAGATTACGGTGAGCCACCAGGGTCACGAAAGACCTGATAAGTTCACAAACCAGTCCAAGGTTATAGACCTCCAGACAGAATACCAGGAGGCTCTACTCTGCCATATACACACTATGTGTGCGAGAGACCAATCACTCCAGAGGGCTATTTTAGAGAGAATTGGGGGGCAACACCATCAGGATCCCCTCCCAATACCAAAACCTTCAAGTACCCCAAGAGAGACGCCTGGCTCATCCGTCTTTAGACATCAGATGAGACAAGCTTCCAGGCAAAAGATGAGCTTGGACACAGAAGAAGAGGGAGAAGATACTGGCAGAGACTGGTCTTACAGCCCAGACCAAACACAACTAAGGGTTGTAAGACCTCCTCAGAAACCAGCTACTCTACCTCCAGAAACACCACAACCAAGGAGAAGGGTATTACGCCTCCCTGTGCTGCAAAAGAAGATGTGTAGAGCTGGTAAGTAATCATAGACAAACTTTTCTTCAACTTAAAATTGTTACATTCTAATTTGGATCAGCTATGTTGGGAAGGGGTGTCTGTGCTTCAGTGGTAGAACTGGTTGTCTCGTAGATATTGGTGGTTTTACACCAGCTCCTCATGCTAAAGTGTCTAGCAACTAAAATAGTGCACCCCACTGACCATTTACATCATTTGTAGGAGATAATGTACAGTAAACAGATGATTATGTAAAGTAGAATCCCAACAGGGTGAGCAGGACCCCATTGTAGAGCATAGAGGTTTTGTCTTGAAAATCACAAAATCTCAAAAGTCTTAGAGCCTATAATGATGATATCTTAAAGACTAGAGCTGTAATGTTAGGAATTAAGGAAAAAAGTTTATCAAATAAGTTGCATAAATCAATAAGAAGAAACGGTACTAACAATTATTTTTGGATTTTGTTCCTCGCAGAAAAAGAAGTCCCTGGTGGATACCAACTCCAGACAGCAGACGACCAACTACAGAAAGTCCAAAGATGTTTGGAGCAGTTCACAGACTCTTCTGCACATCAGCCTCGACCACCGACAGGCCCAAGACGACACAACTTATTGCCACCTTTATCAACTCCAACAAAAAATACATTGGCTTCCCAGGCACAATTCACCCCCGCTCCACCTACGAAACCAGCCCCATCCAAGAAGACTAGGTTCCGGCGTGCTGGAAAAGTCAAAGTGGTAATATGCGAATCACGGTTGAACGAGCACATTGACCTGGACCTCCAAGACCTGGACCCCTTGATTTACCCAGAGGAAAGTCTGTCCTATTGCTTTGAGCTGTTGAAAGATAAAAAGTGGTAAGTTTTTCTTTTTTTTTATCTTAACAATGATCTTCAATATTCTATTGATATAAGCTCAATGTTTAGATGTAATGCTTGCAAAATTTAGCTTGCTTCCTTGAAGTTATCCTCGGTTCACTGTCATAATCATCTACTCGGCATACAAGACAGTTCTCCATAACTCATTTGTTGTTGCACCAGTGAATCAAAAGTTCTTACATTAGTCATCTTTTATACATTTTGTTTGAAACATACTGTGATATTAGATTTTTTGAACAAAAGTTTAACAAATTTATCATCTCATGCACAGGGACAAGAAGATAGAGGGACTGAAACTCATCCAAGCTCTGGCACAGCACCACCAGGAGAATTTGGAGTTCAGGTTTTATGAAATATTAGATGCGGTATTAGACGAGGTAAAGAAGTCTTTCATGTCTTTGTATCCCTATGTCTTTAAGTGTGAACATTGAATTGTATCTGTGATAGTTGTATGACTGCTAAATGTTTACCTCTGTTCTTCCCCCCAGGTTGAAAATCTACGCTCAGCTGTGGCCAGTGCAGCCATTGAAACCCTGAAATATCTTTATGTCCATCTGAAAGAAAAAATGGACAAGGCAGTTCAAAGAACAGGCGAAGCTCTGCTGCTGAAGGTTGCACAGGCACATAGTAAGACCTTCCTCCAGCAGCAGGTCGGTGTGGCCCTTAAGGCAATGTTACTGAACTGCGACCCAGAACCAGTATTACGTGTGCTGGTGCAAACAGGTTTAAGGTATGTTTCCTGGGACAAAAATATTATAATAAACACAGCAGTAGTAAATTCAAAAATATACAAATACAAAATGGAACAATGTGACTAAAATTGTTTATCCTTGTACTTTACAGCCATCGGAGTGCAACAGTGAGAAATAGCGCAGCACAGCATTTACATCTGCTGGCTGATTTAGTCGGAGCAACACAAATTCTGAGCGCTGGAGGGACCTTCACAGAGACATTTCTGTCTGCTGTGAATGAAATGGCTATGAACCCCACTGCGGAAGTCAGGTAACTATTTATCCGTCTCATCAGTTTTCAAACTGTGCCAAAACTCTGATTTTGTCTGGTTTGTAACTCATCTCACAACGTTCATTTTTTCTTTGTTGAATTTAATGTTGATGACCAAAATGCTAACTGAAATCTTATTTTTCTTCAGGACTCACGGAATAACCATCCTCAAGAACATTGCCCAAGAAAAGAACTTCAAGGAGCAGTGGATGCTAGTTGTCAAATCCAAAGATCGACCCTACTTGGAGAAGATCATGGCAAGGATTGCGAGGGAGTAGCAGAGGAGGAGCCAAAGGGACGGACAAGGACTGTGTCAGGAATGTATGGTGGCCGGAGGCTGGAAGTACTGTCCCCTCATAGAAAAAGGAGCAGCTTTCAAAGCTGCTTCTTTTTCTATGAGGGTTTTTTTAATGTAAAAGATTGGGTTTTCTCCGGGCTGCTCCGGTTTTCTCCCACAATAACTTTTCATCCATTTATTATCTGTATCAGGATGACTGGTGCATATAATGGATTACTGTAATTTCATTGAGTAAACCAGAATGGCTGATACGGGTAGCAGGTGGATAAAAAGTTTTTCGATTGTCAAAAAAAAAAAAATAATAATAATAATAAAAAAATTAAAAACAATTTAAAAAAAAAAAAGTAGAGGTTGGGTGTCGTGGCTTTGCAAGCCATTCACTGGTGCAAACCCTCCAACACTTGGAGCGAACGGACTGCATCTACAGAGAGCCGTAAAAAACACGCTAGATGCTGCAGAGAGGGCCTCCAGGTGCCTGTGGATCCGCAGGGGGGGATCCGTGGAACAACAATCACTTGGATACAAGTCGGGGACTGATCATCCCCGGCTGGGTCGCCCAGGAGAGGGTGTATGAAGAATAAAGAACCGAAACACCCCATCACCCTGGGTTCTTCACTGATGACGTGTCCATGTATCACCGGAAGGTGTATTCAACTTCTATCCCACCTGGCTTAGCCAGTGACCGCCAGGAAAGTCTGGTTGGCACCCACGAACAGAGTGGTGACTGCTGGAGAGACAGTGGACAGCTCGGAGAGATGGCAACCGGAGCAGGAAGGGCTAGCCCCCCAACCTGCAACTCTCCAAAGGGAGTATCCAAGTACCTAGCTACAAAGAACCCCAAAGAAAGATACCCCCCAGGGATGCCCGAGAGGGGGGGGGGGGGCATGAGCATCCCAATCGGACTGAACTACCAGTAACGACCTAAGCAAAACACGCTAGAGGCTGCAGAGAGGGCCTGTAGGTGGCTGCGGATCCGCAGGGGGGATCCGTGGAACAACACGCCACTTGGACACAAGTCGGGGACTGATCACCCCCGGCTGGGTCGCCCAGGAGAGGGTGTATGAAAATCAAAGACCCGAAACACCCCATGACCCTGGGTTCTTCACTGACGACGTGTCCAAGTATCACCGGAAGGTGTATTCAACTTCCATATAATGCATTACTGTAATTTTTTTGTGTAAACCAGAATGGCTGATACGGGTAGCAGGTGGATAAATGAGTTTTTCGATTGTCATAAAAAAAAAAAATTAGAAACAATAAAAAAAACAAAACAAAAAAAAACTACACTCAGTCTCGCCTCCTCAACACTAAATTTCCCTCTTGAAAACACAGCTCTTTGTCTCGACTGAGAGCAAGACTGCATCATTGGGTCTCGAGGATCTTGGATGGCACTGCTGAAAAACAGTGTTGTAATCCTCTCCTTACAGCAGTTAGTTTTTCATCACCCCTCCAACAGTTCAGTTGCTGTTCTCAGAGTGGCTTCATCCTGCGAAGAGGCAGACGCTGTCCATTCTATCTACTGTCTACGATCTCTGGTTTTCAGTTACAGCCCAATACAATGTTTTAAAGTGGTTTTGACTTCTGAACTTGCAAGGTTTCAAACAGTCACAACAAACATATTTAAGATTATCAGAGAGAACAAACTAGACAGGTAGATGAGGGGGCCAGAGAGGGTTTTTATATTAGAAATACAGTAAAAGAGTTTGGAGGTGGGCCGGCGAAACTGGGTTTGGTTTAATTTGTCTTTTTAAACTGTAACAGGATAAGTTTCTCATCTCCACACAGTGGCACTCCAGGCAGACATGTTGTTTACTTTCAAATTCACAAGTTGTTTCACAGTTGTTTACTTTCAAATTGTTCCGGAATGATGTCATTGATACCTCTGATGTCACCTGTGATGTCATTGTCTTTGATCTCACTTTAGGCTACTCAAATCGAGAAGGTACTTAGGTACTTTGATATCAAGTTCACTTTGTTCACTTTGTTCACTTGTTCGTAAAACTCAGTTTAGTTTTAACAGCACACATATACATCAAGTATCAAACATGTTTGGCTGTTTTACAAAGAGGACAGAGGAAGAGCGCGTAAGTATTAATTTGTATCCAAGCATCTGCAGTTCATGACAGATATTTTTCTGAGAAACCTCTGATGGATTTGAAACTTGTTTATCTCTAGAAGACTACTTTCAATGACTTGAACAGGCTTAAGTTATCATTCTAAAATATAAATTGGAAGTTTTGATATATTAGGGCTCAAAAACATATCTGCAAAACAATGTTAACGTGTAGGAAAAAAAAAATAATTACGATGCAGGCCCAATCGTGGGCTATCATTTTAAGCAAATTTTAAATCTTTGAATATGATTTTACTACCATTTAAGTTACATAAAAATAATTCCACTACAACTTCTATAGTAGTAAAGTAAAAATTAATTTCATATTTGAATGCAGGTTAAGTTGTATCTTAGTTTTTGTCTCTATAGATAGACTTTTTGTGTCTTTTTTAAAAAGTATTTTGTCGATCATGTTACATCAGTTTAGTGTAAGAAAAGGTGGATGTATTCTGAGAAAATAGCCAACAGTTTTAAACTAAGTAGTACGATTAAAGACTTGCGGCACTGCAACAACAACAACAATAATAATAATAATAATAATAATAATAATAATAATAATAATTATAATAATTTTTATTTGTAGTGCCCTTTATATCAAGAAACCTCAAAGAGCTACATCTTAAAAGTAAAGAAATGTTATTTCAGTTTTACTAACACTGTTCCATTATCAATTTTCATCATAGATTACGGTGAGCCACCAGGGTCACGAAAGAGCTGATAAGTTCACAAACCAGTCCAAGGTTATAGACCTCCAGACAGAATACCAGGAGGCTCTACTCTGCCATATACACACTATGTGTGCGAGAGACCAATCACTCCAGAGGGCTATTTTAGAGAGAATTGGGGGGCAACACCATCAGGATCCCCTCCCAATACCAAAACCTTCAAGTACCCCAAGAGAGACGCCTGGCTCATCCGTCTTTAGACATCAGATGAGACAAGCTTCCAGGCAAAAGATGAGCTTGGACACAGAAGAAGAGGGAGAAGATACTGGCAGAGATTGGTCTTACAGCCCAGACCAAACACAACTAAGGGTTGTAAGACCTCCTCAGAAACCAGCTACTCTACCTCCAGAAACACCACAACCAAGGAGAAGGGTATTACGCCTCCCTGTGCTGCAAAAGAAGATGTGTAGAGCTGGTAAGTAATCATAGACAAACTTTTCTTCAACTTAAAATTGTTACATTCTAATTTGGATCAGCTATGTTGGGAAGGGGTGTCTGTGCTTCAGTGGTAGAACTGGTTGTCTCGTAGATATTGGTGGTTTTACACCAGCTCCTCATGCTAAAGTGTCTAGCAACTAAAATAGTGCACCCCACTGACCATTTACATCATTTGTAGGAGATAATGTACAGTAAACAGATGATTATGTAAAGTAGAATCCCAACAGGGTGAGCAGGACCCCATTGTAGAGCATAGAGGTTTTGTCTTGAAAATCACAAAATCTCAAAAGTCTTAGAGCCTATAATGATGATATCTTAAAGACTAGAGCTGTAATGTTAGGAATTAAGGAAAAAAGTTTATCAAATAAGTTGCATAAATCAATAAGAAGAAACGGTACTAACAATTATTTTTGGATTTTGTTCCTCGCAGAAAAAGAAGTCCCTGGTGGATACCAACTCCAGACAGCAGACGACCAACTACAGAAAGTCCAAAGATGTTTGGAGCAGTTCACAGACTCTTCTGCACATCAGCCTCGACCACCGACAGGCCCAAGACGACACAACTTATTGCCACCTTTATCAACTCCAACAAAAAATACATTGGCTTCCCAGGCACAATTCACCCCCGCTCCACCTACGAAACCAGCCCCATCCAAGAAGACTAGGTTCCGGCGTGCTGGAAAAGTCAAAGTGGTAATATGCGAATCACGGTTGAACGAGCACATTGACCTGGACCTCCAAGACCTGGACCCCTTGATTTACCCAGAGGAAAGTCTGTCCTATTGCTTTGAGCTGTTGAAAGATAAAAAGTGGTAAGTTTTTCTTTTTTTTTATCTTAACAATGATCTTCAATATTCTATTGATATAAGCTCAATGTTTAGATGTAATGCTTGCAAAATTTAGCTTGCTTCCTTGAAGTTATCCTCGGTTCACTGTCATAATCATCTACTCGGCATACAAGACAGTTCTCCATAACTCATTTGTTGTTGCACCAGTGAATCAAAAGTTCTTACATTAGTCATCTTTTATACATTTTGTTTGAAACATACTGTGATATTAGATTTTTTGAACAAAAGTTTAACAAATTTATCATCTCATGCACAGGGACAAGAAGATAGAGGGACTGAAACTCATCCAAGCTCTGGCACAGCACCACCAGGAGAATTTGGAGTTCAGGTTTTATGAAATATTAGATGCGGTATTAGACGAGGTAAAGAAGTCTTTCATGTCTTTGTATCCCTATGTCTTTAAGTGTGAACATTGAATTGTATCTGTGATAGTTGTATGACTGCTAAATGTTTACCTCTGTTCTTCCCCCCAGGTTGAAAATCTACGCTCAGCTGTGGCCAGTGCAGCCATTGAAACCCTGAAATATCTTTATGTCCATCTGAAAGAAAAAATGGACAAGGCAGTTCAAAGAACAGGCGAAGCTCTGCTGCTGAAGGTTGCACAGGCACATAGTAAGACCTTCCTCCAGCAGCAGGTCGGTGTGGCCCTTAAGGCAATGTTACTGAACTGCGACCCAGAACCAGTATTACGTGTGCTGGTGCAAACAGGTTTAAGGTATGTTTCCTGGGACAAAAATATTATAATAAACACAGCAGTAGTAAATTCAAAAATATACAAATACAAAATGGAACAATGTGACTAAAATTGTTTATCCTTGTACTTTACAGCCATCGGAGTGCAACAGTGAGAAATAGC